CCTTATTTTATTTTTGGCAAAATAAGTACTTATAAGACTTTGGAAGACCCGCTACGAACGATTACACCCACTCTCGCTATACATGCATAGATGCGTCGGACCACATCAGTGAGACGTTTGTTGCATGCAAATCCGATCCACATATATAAAAACTAAAAAAAATTTAAGTTGAAAAAAAAAATTTAAACATTAACAGAAACAACAATCACAAGGCTTACTAATGAAAAATTCAATGTTAATTTTTGTCACACCTAGATACACTGTAACAGCGTCCACACGTAGATACATTGTAACAGCGTCCACACCTAGATACACTGTAACTGCGTCAAACCTAGATACACTGTAACAGCGTCCACACGTAGATCGACTCACCTCGAGCTTCTGCGCGTGACCAGCCTCCCTCCATCCTCCCAGTCGTTCTCGTCCGCCGTGCCCTCTCCTTCTCCTCCCCCTCCCCTGTTGGCAGCCGTGATGGCTTCGTCGTCTGTCGACCCACGCCTCCTCTTGCTCGTTGTTTCCTCTCGTGGGTTGGTCTCTCGCCTTTCTGCGAGGATTATTCGATCAGAAGCAACAGGTTGGGGCTTTGCCATCGGCTCCTGCTTTACTGTAAAACAACAGTGCACATATATATATATATAGGCATATATATATATAGACATATGTATATATATATATATACGGTAACCTCTTGCTCTTGCCATTGCTCTTTCGTGCTTGCTTGTTAATCTCTCGGCTCTCTCGCGTCTCGGCTCTCGCTCTCAGCTTCTCGCTCTCGTCGCTCGCTCATCGCTGCTCAGCTCTCGCTTCGCTCTCGCTCTCGCTCTCGACTCTCATTCCCTTGGCGTTCTTCGCCGTCTCATCTCACTCTCTGCCCACCTTCGCTGTCTCTCTCTTTCTCTCTCGTCTTCCGCGTCTGCGTCTCTCTCTCTCTCTCTCTCTCGCTCTCGTGATCCGGGGCTGTGAGGCTGGTCGTGATCCCTGCTTCCCTTCTGCTCTCCTCTCATGCTCTCTCTCGTCGCTCGCCTCTCGTCCCCCTCCCCTCCCTCGCTCGCTCCCTCCCTCCTCCCTCACCTCCCTCCCTCCGTCCCTCCCTCCACTCCGCTCCCTCCCTTCGCTCCGCTCGGTCCCTCCCTCCTCCTCCCTCCTTCCTCTCCTCCGCTCCTCACCTCCCTCCTCTCCCTCCCTCCTCTTCTCTCCCCACCTCTATATCTCTCTCTCTCTCTTTTCTCATCCCGTCTCTCTTTCTCTCGGTCTGCTCTCATCCTCTCCCCTACTCACCAGTATCACCCACGGACCGCATGTCTAGCACTGGGCTGCACGCCCTGCCATCTGAACCTCTCTTGTCCATTGTTCTATTGTCACGCTGCACACCGGCGCTGGGTCTACGGGACAACCCGCGCCTCCGCGCCACGCGACCGATGTCAGCCGCGCGCCGCCACTCCGACAAACGCTCCCTCGTCATCGGAACCGCCATGGCCGCCGCGTTCGGGCGTGAGAGTTGCGCGGCGTCTGCCGGCGAGCCCGGGGCGTCGCGTCCCCGTGACGACGACAGCTGTGGGTACCGGCGTCATGACAACGGACCTCGCCGTGTCTGCAGTCGTTGCTGCGGTCAGCAGTAGAGGTCTGGACTTGGAGGTAGCTGCAGTGGTGGCTGTGGTAGCTAGAGCAGATCTAGAAGTTATACTCTCAGCATTGGTGTCTGTAAATACTAGAGCGGGTTTGAAGGGCCCCACAGTGGTTGCCGTGGCTACGGGAGTGGGCTTGCCGCCATCCACCACAGCCACATTTTTTCTGAACAGCGGCGTCCTGGCCACGGCAGCGCGGTGCGTCGGTACGCCGCCGGACGACACGGGCCGGAAGCCTAGCACTGGCGTCGCCGTCCGTCGGTCATCCTCCGGTCCCTCCATCGACTCCGACTCGAACAAGTCGGGAGAGCCGCAGGCTTCGCGTGCGGAGGCGGTCGCCGCGGCAACGGCTGCGCCATCCGCCCCCGTGCTGTCTGGCTTCGAAGCCGTTTCCGACTCCGGCGTGATCGCAGCGCCACCTGGTCGGCCGTCGAAATTGACGCCAGGCGGCACTGCGATCGCACCTGCAGGCGACGCCACCGCGCGGCAAACAGAATCCGGACGAAATCGCGTGTCCGTCGGCGTCCCGTCTCCGTGGACTGCCGATCGCCGCGCTGCCAGTCCGTCCGCCGCCGCGCCGTCAGCGAGGCTGCAAAGCCGGTGCGATATCTCCGCTAAGAGGGAGGCTGCTCCACGGGGCGCCGCGCCATCCGTGACGGTCGCCACGGTAACGGCCGGTGCGGCGACGGAGGCAGCGCAGGGAGCTGTGGATGCGGTCGCTAGGGCGCGCGCCGCCGTAGCGACACGCGCGTCAGGCGTTAACGTAGCAACGTCTGCCGTCGACGTCGACAACGATCGCATCCCGCCCGCCGGCAACGCTGGCGTGGGAGACGGGAGCGCTCCGGGATGGAGGAAGTCGAATCTCAATAAACATATTACATAACTCCTCAGCACACACAAAAGAATAAACACCCACTACACATATGGACGCAAGCACACACGTACGCATGCACGCACGCACGCACACACGCACGCACACACGTACGCATGCACGCACGCACGCACACACGCACGCACACACTTGTACGTGCGCACATGTACGTGCGCACATGTACGTGCACACGCACGCACCCATACACGTGGACGTGCACACGCACGCACGCATGCACACACGTGTACTGACAATATATATTGCGTGCGGTGCATGGTGGATGTGTCACGCTCACGTTGTTGTGCGGCTTGCGTG